GATCCTCATCCCAGCCGCTTCACACTCGGCTGCAAACCGCCCCAGTGCACATTGCAGGTCCTGGTTCGATGAAGCCAACAGGACAACATCGTCCGCAAACAGCAGAGATGAAATCCTGTGGTCCCCAAACCGGACCCTCCGGCCCCTGACTGCACCTAGAAATTCTGTCCATAAATACAATGAACAGAACCGGTGACAGGTGCAGCCCTGGCGGAGTCCAACATGCACCGGGAACAGGTCTGACTTACTGCCGGCAACGAACACAGCTCCTGCTCCGGTCATACAGGGACCGGACAGCCCTTAGCAAAGGGCCCCGGACCCCATACTCCCAGAGCACCCCCCACAGGACACCACGAGGGACACGGTCGAATGCCTTCTCCAGATCCACAAAACACATGTGGACTGGTTGGGCAAACTCCCATGAACCCTCGAGCACCTATGGAGAGTGTAGAGCTGGTCCAGTGTTCCACGACCAGGACGAAAACCACACTGCTCCTCCTGAATCCGAGGTTCGACTATCGGCCGGATTCTCCTCTCCAGTCCCTGGCATAGACCTTACCGGGAAGGCTGAGGAGTGTGATCCCCCTATAGTTGGAACACACCCTCCGGTCCCCCTTCTTATACAGAGGGACCACCACCCCGGTTTGCCAGTCCAGAGGTACTGTCCCCGACCGCCACGCGATGTTGAAGAGGCGTGTCAGCCAAGACAGCCCCACAACATCCAGAGACTTCAGGTACTCAGGACGGATCTCATCCAACCCCGGAGCCTTGCCACCAAGGAGCTTGCCAACCACCTCAGTGACTTCGGCCAGGGTGATGGATGAGTCCGCCTCCGAGTCCCCAGCCTCGGCCTCCTCCTCGGAGGACGTGACGGTGGGATTGAGGAGATCCTCAAAGTTTTCCTTCCACCGCCGAACAACGTCCCCAGTCGAGGTCAACAGCTCTCCCCCCGCACTGTAAACAGTGTTGGTGAAGAACTGCTTCCCCCTCCTGAGGCGCCGGACGGTTTGCCAGAATCTCTTTGAGGCCGTCCGATAGTCCTTCTCCATGGCCTCCCCGAACTCCTCCCAGCTCCGAGTTTTTGCCTCCGCGACCACACGGGCTGCAGCACGCTTGGCCCGCCGGTACCCGTCAGCTGCCTCAGGAGTCCCCCGAGCCAGCAAGGCCCGATAGGACTCCTTCTTCAGCTTGACAGCATCCCTTACTTCCGGTGTCCACCACCGGGTTCTGGGGTTGCCGCCGCGACAGGCACCACAGACCTTACGCCCACAGCTCCGAGCAGCCGCATTGACAATAGAGGCCGAGAATGAAGCCCACTCGGACTCCATATCTCCAGCCTCCCCCGGAATCTGGGAGAAGTCCTCCCGGAGGTGCGAGTTGAAGGTCCCTCTGACAGAGGCTCCGCCAGACGTTCCCAACAGACCCTCACTACACGCTTGGGTCTGCCAGGTCTTTCCGGCTTCCTCCTCCGCCAGCGAACCCAACTCACGACCAGGTGGTGAGCCCCTCTCTTCACCCGAGTGTCCAAGACACGCGGCCGGAGATCAGATGACACGACGACAAAGTCGATCATCGACCTCCGGCCTAGGGTGTCCTGGTGCCACGTGCACTTATGGACCTTGTGCTCGAACATGGTGTTCGTTATGGACAAACTGTGACTAGCACAGAAGTCCAATAACAAAACACCGCTCGGGTTCAGATCAGGGAGGCCGTTCCTCCCAATCACCCCTCTCCAAGTGTCACTGTCGTTGCCCACGTGGGCGTTGAAGTCCCCCAGGAGAACAACGGAGTCCCCGGTCGGTGCACTGTCTAGTACCCCTCCCAAGGACTCCAAGAAGGCCGGGTACTCGAGTACTCAGCACTGCTGTTCGGCCCGTAGGCCGACACCACAGTGAGAGACCTGTCCCCGACCCGAAGGCGCAGGGACGCGACCCTCTCGTTCACCGGGGTGAACTCCAACACACAGCGACTGAGCTGTGGGGCAATGAGCCCACACCAGCCCCCCCCCCCCACACCAGCCCCCCGCCGCTCCCCACGACCAACACCAGAGAAATGGAGAGTCCAGCCCCTCTCAAGGAGTTGGTTCCAGAGCCCAAACTGTGCGTGGAGGTGAGGCCGACTATATCTAGTCGGTAACGCTCAACCTCCCGCACAAGCTCAGGCTCCTTCCCCCCAGCGAGGTGACATTCCATGTCCCCAGAGCCACAGTCTCCATGTCCGGAGATCCGGTCGCCGAGGCCCCCGCCGTCGACTGCTGCCCAGATCCTTCTGCACCGGCCCCATATGGATCCTCCTGCGGGTGTTGGGCCCACGTGAGGACGGCCCCACGTCGCTCCTTCGGGCTGAGCCCGGCCGAGCCCCGTGGGGGGAGGCTCGGCCACCAGGCGCTCGCTGACGAGCACCCACCCCAGGCCTGGCTCCAGGGTGAGGCCCCGGTGACGCCAATCCGGGCGATGTAACTGGCCTTGCTCGTACACTCATCATAGGGGCTTCTGAACCGTTCTTCGTCTGACCCGTCCCCCCGGACCTGTTTGCCTTGGGTGACCCTACCAGGGGCATGAAGCCCCCGACAACATAGCTCCCGGGATCATTCGGGCACTCAAACCCCTCCACCACGATAAGGTGACGGTTCAAGGAGGGGATAAAAAAAATGTAGTTTGTAAAATGTGATTCATATTTGTGGAACAGATTTCCTCTGTGACGTGTTTTCGAGTAGAGCTGGTATCATTAAGGAGTTGCCGATACGATACACACCTCGATACAGTGCACTTTTGATTCGATATGATATATTTCAAATGGATTCGATACAGTTCAATAAAAAATAAAGTCTAAGTCGTGGCTGTGATACTAAAAGTGTTTGTTAAATCACTTCTTGTGCAAAATTCATATGAAACACAAACATTTTAATCCTCAAAACAGTAAAAATGTCAAATGTGTCGCATAAATGAGTTTCCTTTCACTCCACAAGCAACAAAACTGTAGCTGTAACAAAATAATTTAGTAAAACACATGTAAAAAATACTCTTGGTGAAATATCGATACAGTTTCATCACTTTAAACGATACGATATATCGATATTCCGATATATTTGCACACCCCTATGTTTGAGACTTTCTATTAGAGAAATCCACAAACACACAGATCCACTAGAGGGCGGCGTTGGTGCAGGAGGAGGTTCACTCACATGAACTTTTCCCAACAACATCATAATGAATCATCGATAAAGAACTGACCTCAAAGAAAATTCATTCATGTTCCAAACTCACAGAAACACAGAAGATCAGAGCCACAGTCTCCACACGTAAAACACGACTGTGACTAAACTCTGTCTTTAACGTGACCTGTTATTTTGACACCATCATAGTTATTATTAGTTTGTACAACCATAAAAAAAGTAATAATAATAATAATAAATTGTTTGTGTTGGAGGTGAGTTTGTGTAAAAACCTGAGAGACGATTTAAAAAGTCTGACACTGTAGAACCTAAAAAAAAAAGAATAAAGTGTTATGTTCTAAAGATCTAGAGCCTGGAATGAATGTTTAGTCCTGGTTTAGTCCTGGTTTAGTCCTGGTTTAGTCCTGGTTTAGTCCTGGTCCAGTCCTGGTTTAGTCCTGGTTTAGTCCTGGTTTAGTTCTGGTTTAGTCCTGGTTTAGTTCTGGTTTAGTTCTGGTTCAGTCCTGGTTTAGTCCTGGTTCAGTCCTGGTTCAGTCCTGGTTTAGTCCTGGTCCAGTCCTGGTTTAGTCCTGGTTCAGTCCTGGTCCAGTCCTGGTTCAGTCCTGATTGAGTCCTGGTTTAGTCCTGGTTTAGACCTGGTTCAGTCCTGGTTTAGTCCTGGTCCAGTCCTGGTTCAGTCCTGGTTTAGTCCTGGTCCAGTCCTGGTTTAGTCCTGGTCCAGTCCTGGTTTAGTCCTGGTCCAGTCTTGGTTTAGTCCTGGTTCAGTCCTGGTTTAGTCCTGGTCCAGTCCTGGTTTAGTCCTGGTTTAGTCCTGGTTTAGTCCTGGTCCAGTCCTGGTTTAGTCCTGGTTTAGTCCTGGTTCAGTCCTGGTTTAGTCCTGGTTTAGTCCTGGTTCAGTCCTGGTTTAGTCCTGGTTCAGTCCTGGTTTAGTCCTGGTCCAGTCCTGGTTTAGTCCTGGTTTAGTCCTGGTTCAGTCCTGGTTTAGTTCTGGTCCAGTCCTGGTTTAGTCCTGGTCCAGTCCTGGTTCAGTCCTGATTGAGTCCTGGTTTAGTCCTGGTTTAGTCCTGGTTTAGTCCTGGTCCTGGTTTAGTCCTGGTTTAGTCCTGGTTTAGTCCTGGTTTAGTCCTGGTTTAGTCCTGGTCCAGTCCTGGTTTAGTCCTGGTTCAGTCCTGGTTTAGTCCTGGTTCAGTCCTGGTTTAGTCCTGGTTTAGTCCTGGTTTAGACCTGGTTCAGTCCTGGTTTAGTCCTGGTTTAGTCCTGGTTTAGTCCTGGTTTAGTTCTGGTTCAGTCCTGGTTTAGTCCTGGTTTAGTCCTGGTTCAGTCCTGGTTCAGTCCTGGTTTAGTCCTGGTTCAGTCCTGGTTCAGTCCTGGTTCAGTCCTGGTTCAGTCCTGGTTCAGTCCTGGTTCAGTCCTGGTTCAGTCTGGTTTAGTCCTGGTTCAGTCCTGGTTCAGTCCTGGTTCAGTCCTGGTTCAGTCTGGTTAGTTCTGGTCTGGTTCAGTCCTGGTTCAGTCCTGGTTTAGTTCTGGTTCAGTCCTGGTTCAGTCCTGGTTCAGTCCTGGTTCAGTCCTGGTTTCAGTCCTGGTTCAGTCCTGGTTCAGTCCTGGTTAGTCCTGGTTCAGTCCTGGTTCAGTCCTGGTTTAGTCCTGGTTCAGTCTGGTTTCAGTCCTGGTTCAGTCCTGGTTCAGTCCTGGTTCAGTCCTGGTTCAGTCCTGGTTCAGTCCTGGTTCAGTCCTGGTTTAGTCCTGGTTCAGTCCTGGTTCAGTCCTGGTTCAGTCCTGGTCCAGTCCTGGTCCATCCTGGTCTGACGGTCCTGTTTTCTTTCAGGTTCTCTGCTCTCCATCATGCTGCTCTCTCTGGATCTTCTGAGCTCCTCTCGGCTCTGCTCGACGCCCAGGCCTCCGTCGACATCAAGGACAGCAACGGTCAGTCCGGGTCCAGACCGGGTCCGAGTCTAGACCTGGGTTCTACTTGGTTGTGACCTCATTTCGTTGGTGCGTTCAGACCGGAGCGTCAGGACGTCCTGTGTTTTTGCGTCAACACGCAGGTTTTGATCGTTCAGTCGTCGACGCTCTGGACGAATCACAGACGACTGTTCTGTGACTTGGAGACGTTATTATACAGAAGAAGGAGAAGTGTGTTTAGAGGAGCATAAATGTGTCTGGTCAAGTGTTAACGGAGGAAACAGGGTCAGATGTTTGACATTCAAATGTCTCTTATTCAGAAACTAGAGGAACTATTGAAATAAGTAAAGTATCAGAATGTAGGAAAGAGTTACACTCCAACAGGGTCAAGTTAAACCTGTGAGATTCTTTCAAGTTCAACACAAAACATTTAAAAACTCATGTTGGTAACGGAGGGAATGAAATACAATAAATCCAAACAGTGATAACTCTTGGTTCTCACTTCCATATCCTTAACAAACTGGTTTGAATATTTGCTTCATATAGTTTTCTACCATATGGAACAAGATTAGGTTGAAAAACCTCTGACTTTTTGACTCATGAGATTTTTTATGAAGAAAGTTCATGGTAACGGAGGGAAAAGTAACGGAGGGAAAATTGTACAAACAAGTAGAAGGTGCAGGATTTTACATCATTTGTGGCTTTTTTCTTCCGAAAACTTTAATATTACTTCAAAATGAAAAGAAACTATTTCTATAAAATATGTCAGTCCTTCCAACAACATTTTTATCATTAAAAAATATATATAAATAAAAAATCCTGTCCCTTCATCAACAGTTCAAAGATGGAATAACACAAGATATGATGAAATACAAACATTTATTTACATGATTTTTGGGTCTTTGAAATTTGGGAAATAATTTTTGTTCCATGTTTCATTCATGGTCTGTTTAAAACGGATGGAACTTTAGAACCAAAAATGGTCCAGAAAAAAGGTCAACAGTTTGATAAACTCGAGTACATATGTATCTGTTCAATACACTTTTATATCAGATGAATTCATTGGAAGTTTTGGCCTTGATGTTTACTTCTGTTTGACCAGGATCATGTATTTTCACGCCGCAGTCGTCGAGTCGATTTCCTCTGATGGTTTTATGTAAAAAAGTTAAAAGTCTGTCTCAGTTTTCTCCATCGTTCAAAGGAAAACACGGGAAATGTCTCTCGTTTCTAGGACACACGTCAAGTATTTTTCTCCCGTTGGTCGTCGGCGTCCAGGACACGTCGAGGGCGTCTGAACTCAAGCGTAAAGGCTCCGACTCGACTCGACTCGACTGGAGACGTGCAGAGAGTTTGTGACGCTCTGGTCTGAACGCGGCTTTAAAGAGTCACATTCTGCTACATGTTTTTCTCTGAACTTTTCTCTTGTTCTGACTGTTCCTCATCACAAACCTGAGAGCTTTTAGAGTCCTCCATGCATGTTTGAGTCATCTAGAGATCTAGTGGTTGCCCTGTTCAAACCCTTCTTATGGTTAGTTCGGGCCTGTACGAGGCTCCGCCCACAAGCCCACCCCCCCACACACACTCCCACACGACAGTTCTCCATAAATCCACCAAAACTGGACACAGAACTGTTCCTGTGACGTCACAATCCTGGGGTGATGTTCCTCGTGTGATTGGCGGCGTGTCTGTCCACAGGAATGCGCCCGCTGCACTACGCGGCGTGGAGGGGCGGGGCCGACTCCGTGCTGCTGCTGCTGAGGGGCGGAGCTTCGGTGAACGGGACCTCCCAGGACGGACACACCCCCCTGCACCTGTCCGCCCAGTACGGACACTTCCAGGTGGTGAGTACCCGACCGGGACTGGACCTGGACCTGGACTGGACCGGGACCGGGACCGGGACCTGGACCAGGACTGGAGCAGGACTGGAGCAGGACTGGAGCAGGTCTAAACCAGTTTGTTGTTGTTTCAGTCTGAGATGTTGCTGCAGCATCAGTCAAACCCGTGTCTCCTGAACAAAGCCAAAAAGACGCCGCTGGACCTCGCCTGCGAGTTTGGACGATTCCAGGTCAGTCCTGCTCCTCTTCATCCTCTTCATCCTCTCCTCCTCTTCATCCTCTTCATCCTCTCATCCTCTCCTCCTCTTCATCCTCTCATCCTCTCCTCTCTTCATCCTCTTCATCCTCTCCTCCTCTTCATCCTCTCCTCCTCTTCATCCTCTCCTCCTCTTCATCCTCTTCATCCTCTCCTCCTCTTCATCCTCTCCTCGTCTTTCAAAAATTTGACTCATTATTTTTGGACTAATGACAATAAAAAGAGACCAGACCAGAGTCCAGACCAGAGTCCAGACCAGACCCCAGACCAGAGTCCAGACTGAGGAGTGTGTGTTTGAGTTTTCGTTGTGTTTCCTCTCAGCTCCCAGTTGACATTTACACACTTCACCTGACACACTGTGTGTGTGTGTGTCACCACCACGTGTCACCGTTGTGTGTGTGTGTGTGTGTGTGTGTGTGTGTGTGTGTGTGTGTGTGTGTGTGTGTGTGTGTGTGTGTGTGTGTGTGTGTGTGTGTGTGTGTGTGTGTGTGTGTGTGTGTGTGTGTGTGTGTGTGTGTGTGTGTGTGTGTGTGTGTGTGTGTGTGTGTGTGTGTGTGTGTGTGTGTGTGTGTGTGTGTGTGTGTGTGTGTGTGTGTGTGTGTGTGTGTGTGTGTGTGTGTGTGTGTGTGTGTGTGTGTGTGTGTGTGTGTGTGTGTGTGTGTGTCACCTGTGTGTTGTGTGTGTGTGTGTGTGTGTGTGTGTGTGTGTGTGTGTGTGTGTGTGTGTGTGTGTGTGTGTGTGTGTGTGTGTGTGTGTGTGTTGTGTGTTGTGTGTGTGTGTGTGTGTGTGTGTGTGTGTGTGTGTGTGTGTGTGTGTGTGTGTGTGTGTTGTTGTGTGTGTTTGTGTGTGTTGTGGTGTGTGTGTGTGTGTCGTTGTGTGTGTGTGTGTGTGTGTGTGTGTGTGTGTGTGTGTGTGTGTGTGTGTGTGTGTGTGTGTGTGTGTGTGTGTGTGTGTGTGTGTGTGTGTGTGTGTGTGTGTGTGTGTGTGTGTGTGTGTGTGTGTGTGTGTGTGTGTGTGTGTGTGTGTGTGTGTGTGTGTGTGTGTGTGTGTGTGTGTGTGTGTGTGTGTGTGTGTGTGTGTGTGTGTGTGTGTGTGTGTGTGTGTGTGTGTGTGTGTGTGTGTGTGTGTTGTGTGTGTGTGTGTTGTGTGTGTGTGTGTGTGTGTGTGTGTGTGTGTGTGTGTGTGTGTGTGTGTGTGTGTGTGTGTGTGTGTGTGTGTGTGTGTGTGTGTGTGTGTGTGTGTGTGTGTGTGTGTGTGTGTGTGTGTGTGTGTGTGTGTGTGTGTGTGTGTGTGTGTGTGTGTGTGTGTGTGTGTGTGTGTGTGTGTGTGTGTGTGTGTGTGTGTGTGTGTGTGTGTGTGTGTGTGTGTGTGTGTGTGTGTGTGTGTGTGTGTGTGTGTGTGTGTGTGTGTGTGTGTGTGTGTGTGTGTGTGTGTGTGTGTGTGTGTGTGTGTGTGTGTGTTGTGTGTGTGTGTGTGTGTGTGTGTGTTGTGTGTGTGTGTGTGTGTTGTGTGTTCTCACCTGTGTGTTGTGTGTGTTGTGCGTCCATGTTGGGCAGGTGGCTCAGCTCCTCCTCAGTAGTAACATGGCCGCCGGTCTGTTGGAGGGAGAGAAGAAGGAGCCGACAGACTCGTCGTTCACGACGCCGCTGCACCTGGCGGCTCGAAACGGACACAAAGAACTCATCAGGTCACGACCACGAGACTTTATATCGACTTTATTTATATCGACTTTATTTATATCGACTTTATTTATATCGACTTTATTTATATCAACTTTATTTATATCAACTTTATTTATATCGACTTTATTTATATCGACTTTATTTATATCGACTTTATTTATATCAACTTTATTTATATCAACTTTATTTATATCAACTTTATTTATATAAAGTTTATATAAACTTTATTTCTATCGACTTTATTTATATCAACTTTATTTATATCGACTTTATTTATATCAACTTTATTTATATCGACTTTATTTATATCAACTTTATTTATATCAACTTTATTTATATCAACTTTATTTATATCGACTTTATTATATATCGACTATATACTTTATTTATATCGACTTTATTTATATCAACTTTATTTATATCGACTTTATTTATATCAACTTTATTTATATCAACTTTATTTATATCAACTTTATTTATATAAAGTTTATATAAACTTTATTCATATCAACTTTATTTATATCGACTTTATTATATCAACTTTATTTATATCGACTTTATTTATATCAACTTTATTTATATCGACTTTATTTATATCAACTTTATTTATATAAAGTTTATATAAACTTTATTGATATCAACTTTATTTATGTAAACTTTATATACATTTTATTTATATAAACTTTATTTATATAAACTTTATAAAAACTGTATTTATAGAAACTTTATATCAACTTTATTTATAGAAACTTTATATAAACTTTATATATTTTTGTACATTGGCCACAGGGAGCTGATCAGGTCAGAGACGAACACGACACTGTTTATATATTTTATTTATTTATATTCACTTTATTATCATCAGTGAAACGTCACCAGAATTTTCTAAATGCTTTAAAATCTCCAAATTCTGTCCAAGTCCTTTAAACTGATCCTGTGGCGTCACACTGGGGTGTTGTACATGTGTGTCTATGACAGAATGTTCAGCAGTCACCACGGATTAAAATCGTCTGAAAACTCAATGAAAAAAGTGATTTAGTCGTACTATGTAGTACTTCATAGTTCTACATAGTACTCGATAGTACTTGATAGTACTCTGTAGTACTCTGTAGTACTCTGTAGTACTCTGTAGTACTCGGTAGTACTCGGTAGTACTCTGTAGTACTCTGTAGTACTTTGTAGTACTCTGTAGTACTTGACAGTACTCTGTAGTACTCTGTAGTACTAGTACTGTAGTACTCTGTAGTACTCTGTAGTACTCTGTAGTACTTGACAGTACTCTGTAGTACTCTGTAGTACTTGACAGTACTCTGTAGTACTCTGTAGTACTCTGTAGTACTTGTAGTAGTACTCTGTAGTACTCTGTAGTACTCTGTAGTAAGTACTAGTACTGTAGTACGTACTCTGTAGTACTTGACAGTACTAGTAGTACAGTACTTGTAGTACTCTGTAGTACTCTGTAGTACTGTAGTGACAGTACTCGTAGTACTACTGGTAGTACTCTGTAGTACTTGACAGTACTCTGTAGTACTCTGTAGTACTTGACAGTACTCTGTAGTACTTGACAGTACTCTGTAGTACTCTGTAGTACTTGACAGTACTCTGTGTAGTACTCTGTAGTACTTGACAGTACTCTGTAGTACTCTGTAGTACTTGACAGTACTCTGTAGTACTCTGTGTAGTACTGTAGTACTCTACTTGTAGTACTCTGTAGTACTCTGTAGTACTCTGTAGTACTGTAGTACTCTAGTAGTACTCTGTAGTACTCTGTAGTACTTGACAGTACTCTGTAGTACTCTGTAGTACTCTGTAGTACTTGACAGTACTCTGTAGTACTCTGTAGTACTCAGTAGTAGTAGTACTCTGTAGTACAGTACTCTGTAGTACTCTGTGACAGTACTGTAGTACTTGTGACAGTACTCTGTAGTACTCTGTAGTACTTGTTACAGTACTCTGTAGTACTGTAGTCTAGTAGTACTCTGTAGTACTACTGTAGTACTCTGTAGTACTCTGTAGTACTCTAGTACTCTGTAGTACTCTGTAGTACTCTGTAGTACTCTGTAGTACTCTTAGTACTGTAGTACTCTTGTAGTACTCTGTAGTACTCTGTGACAGTACTCTGTAGTACTCTGTAGTACAGTACTGTAGTACTCTGTAGTGACAGTACTCTGTAGTACTCTGTAGTACTCTGTAGTACTCTGTAGTACTCTGTAGTACTCTGTAGTACTCTGTAGTACTCTGTAGTACTTGACAGTACTGACAGTACTCTGTAGTAGTACTCTGTAGTACTTGACAGTACTCTGTAGTACTCTGTAGTACTTGGTAGTACTCTGTGTAGTACTTGACAGTACTTCTCTGGTGTTTCAGGCTGTTGTTGAAGTCCGGCATCGACATCAACAAAACGACTAAATCGGGCACGGCGCTGCACGAGGCCGCCCTCTACGGGAAAACTGAGGTGGTGCGACTGCTGCTGGACGTGAGTCTGACCTCTGACCTCTGTGTGACCTCTGTGTGTGGGGTCACACAGAGGTCATAAATGTTCCACACTGTTGCTTTCCTCGTCAGGCCGGAGTGGACGTGAACATCAGAAACACGTACAACCAAACGGCGCTCGACATCGTCAACCAGTTCACCACGAGTACGGCCAGCAGAGACATCAAACAACTACTGCGAGGTACACAGACCGAGTCCACACCCGGTCTAGACCCGGTCCAGACCCGGTCTAGACCCGGTTTAGTCCTGGTTTAGTCCTGGTCTTGGTCTCAGTCCTGGTCTCATCCTGGTCTCGGTCCTGGTCTCGGTCCTGGTCTCGGTCCTGGTCCTGGTCCTGGTCCTGGTCTTGGTCCTGGTCTTGTTCTTGGTCTCAGTCCTGGTCTCAGTCCTGGTCTCAGTCCTGGTCTTGATCCCGGTCCCAGTCCTGGTCTCAGTCCTGGTCTTGGCCCTGGTCCTGATCTAAGTCCTGGTCTTGGTCCTGGTCTCGGTCTTGGTCTAAGTCTTGGTCTGGGTCTTGGTCTCAGTCTCAGTCCTGGTCCTGGTCTCAGTCCTGGTCTTGGTCTTGATCCTGGTCTCAGTCCTGGTCTGGGTCTCGGTCCTGGTCCTGGTCTAAGTCCTGGTCTTGGTCTTGCAGATGCCTTTGGGGTGCTGCAGGTTCGAGCTCTGAAGGATTATTGGAACGTCCACGACCCGACGGCGCTGAACATCAGAGCGGGCGACATCATCACGGTACTTTTACTGCACTAACACACGCAGTACTGCAGCAAGACACGAAGTACTGCACTAACACACGCAGTACTGCAGTAAGACACGAAGTACTGCACTAACACACGCAGTACTGCAGTAAGACACGAAGTACTGCACTAACACACGCAGTACTGCAGCAAGACACGAAGTACTGCACTAACACAAGAGTACTGCACTAAACACAGTACTGCAGTAAGACACGAAGTACTGCACTAAACACACGCAGTACTGCAGTAAGACACGAAGTACTGCACTAACACACGCAGTACTGCAGTAAGACACGAAGTACTGCACTAACACACGCAGTACTGCAGTAGGACACACAGTACTGCACTAACACACGCAGTACTGCAGCAAGACACGCAGTACTGCAGTAAGACACGCAGTACTGCACTAACACACGCAGTACTGCAGTAAGACACTCAGTACTGCACTAACACACGCAGTACTGCAGTAAGACACTCAGTACTGCACTAACACACGCAGTACTGCAGTAAGACACGAAGTACTGCACTAACACACGCAGTACTGCAGCAAGACACGCAGTACTGCAGTAAGACACGAAGTACTGCACTAACACACGCAGTACTGCAGTAAGACACGAAGTACTGCACTAACATACGCAGTACTGCAGTAGGACACACAGTACTGCACTAACACACGCAGTACTGCAGTAGGACACACAGTACTGCACTAACACACGCAGTACTGCAGCAAGACACTCAGTACTGCAGTAAGACACGAAGTACTGCACTAACACACGCAGTACTGCAGCAAGACACGCAGTACTGCAGTAAGACACGAAGTACTGCACTAACACACGCAGTACTGCAGTAGGACACACAGTACTGCACTAACACACGCAGTACTGCAGTAAGACACGCAGTACTGCAGTAAGACACACAGTACTGCACTAACACACACAGTACTGCACTAAGACACGCAGTACTGCAGTAGTAGTAAGAGTATAAGTTCTTTTTCATGCACATGTAATGGAACAGTTGTAGTACTTGTAGTACTGTGTGTCAGGTGATGGAGCAGTTGTAGTACTTGTAGTACTTGTAGTACTTGTAGTACTGTGTGTCAGGTGATGGAGCAGTTGTAGTACTTGTAGTACTTGTAGTACTTGTAGTACTGTGTGTCAGGTGATGGAGCAGTTGTAGTACTTGTAGTACTTGTAGTACTTGTAGTACTGTGTGTCAGGTGATGGAGCAGTTGTAGTACTTGTAGTACTTGTAGTACTGTGTGTCAGGTGATGGAGCAGTTGTAGTACTTGTAGTACTTGTAGTACTGTGTGTCAGGTGATGGAGCAGTTGTAGTACTTGTAGTACTTGTAGTACTGTGTGTCAGGTGATGGAGCAGTTGTAGTACTTGTAGTACTTGTAGTACTTGTAGTACTTGTAGTACTTGTAGTACTGTGTGTCAGGTGTAGCTTGTAGTACTTGTAGTACTTGTAGTACTGTGTGTCAGGTGATAGTTGTAGTACTTGTAGTACTTGTAGTACTTGTAGTACTTGTAGTACTGTGTAGTAGTACTTGTAGTAGTTGTAGTACTTGTAGTACTTGTAGTACTGTGTGTCAGGTGATGGAGCAGTTGTAGTACTTGTAGTACTTGTAGTACTGTGTGTCAGGTGATGGAGCAGTTGTAGTACTTGTAGTACTTGTAGTACTTGTAGTACTTGTAGTACTGTGTGTCAGGTGATGGAGCAGTTGTAGTACTTGTAGTACTTGTAGTACTTGTAGTACTGTGTGTCAGGTGATGGAGCAGTTGTAGTACTTGTAGTACTTGTAGTACTTGTAGTACTGTGTGTCAGGTGATGGAGCAGTTGTAGTACTTGTAGTACTTGTAGTACTGTGTGTCAGGTGATGGAGCAGTTGTAGTACTTGTAGTACTTGTAGTACTTGTAGTACTGTGTGTCAGGTGATGGAGCAGTTGTAGTACTTGTAGTACTTGTAGTACTTGTAGTACTGTGTGTCAGGTGATGGAGCAGTTGTAGTACTTGTAGTACTTGTAGTACTTGTAGTACTGTGTGTCAGGTGATGGAGCAGTTGTAGTACTTGTAGTACTTGTAGTACTTGTAGTACTGTGTGTCAGGTGATGGAGCAGCATGCAGACGGGCGGTGGAAGGGTCACATCCACGACTCTCAGAGAGGAACCGACCGAGTGGGATTCTTCCCCCCGAGTATCGTCGAAGTACTGAGCCGACGCCTGGGTGAGTATTGCAAATACTACTACTACTACTACTACTACTACTACTACTTATACTACTACTACTACTACTACTTATACTACTATTAATACTGTACTACGTCTACTGTGACCATAAACAACCTCACTCACCTGCACCTAATGTTGTTACGGCTTTCACACAGACTCTGGTCCAGACCTGGTCCAGACCTGGTCCAGACCTGGTCCAGACTCTGGTCCAGACCTGGTCCAGACCTGGTCCAGACTCTGGTCCAGACCTGGTCCAGACCTTCTGGCGTCTCTCGGTCGTGACAGAGACATACACATCCAGAGTTTTTGTGAAAGTTCTGGTCCAGTCTGAGCCTCGTCTAAAATCACAGAATTGAAAAAGTAAATTTTCCAAAAATATCTGAAAAACAAATTCAGATCTAGTTTTGACTTTTGGCCTGAAAAGCGTCTGAGACTCTGTGTTTGTGTCGAGTCGTGTGATTGGTGGTGTCGGACGAGGCTCCGCCCCTCTCCTCCTCTGTGTTTAACCTCACCTGCTCCTAACCTCCTGCAGGGGGCGCTCTCTGTAGACACGCCTCTCTGCCCACCGCCCACCGCCTGCCCCGCCCCCTGGACCTGCCCCGCCCCCTCGCCGCGCCGCTCCTCCCACAGACGGACGACGGCTACACGCTGTACGCCCACTTCACTAACGCAGGTAACACCGGACCAATCAGAGCGCAGCACACACACCTGTCAGCCAATCAGAGTGCAGCACTCACCTGTCAGCCAATCAGAGCGCAGCACACACCTGTCAGCCAATCAGAGTGCAGCACACACACCTGTCAGCCAATCAGAGTGCAGCACACATCTGTCAGCCAATCAGAGCACAGCACACACCTGTCACCCAATCAGAGCGCAGCACACACCTGTCAGCCAATCAGAGAGCTAATTTCTGATTGATTCTGAATTTCACTGCAAAACTCACAGACTGAAGTTGCTCAGGAGAACCAATCAGAGACGAGCTCACGGCCTCATCAGCCAATCACAGCGTCTGACCCTGTGACCCCACAGTCCTGTTTGTTTGTTTGTGATAAAAATAACACAGAATTTTACTATAAAACTAAAACTTCAATCATTTTGTATTTTCATCAATTTAAGCCTGTAACCTTCACACTCTGACCTCTGACCTCTGCAGGGTCAGGGTCACTTTATTTACGTCTGGTCTGACCTGAGTGAGTCCGGTCTGACCTGAGTTAGTCTGGTCTGAGTGAGTCTGGTCTGACCTGAGTGAGTCTGGTCTGACCTGAGTTAGTCTGGTCTGAGTTAGTCTGGTCTGACCTGAGTGAGTCCGGTCTGACCTGAGTGAGTCTGGTCTGACCTGAGTTAGTCTGGTCTGAGTTAGTCTGGTCTGACCTGAGTGAGTCCGGTCTGACCTGAGTTAGTCTGGTCTGAGTGAGTCTGGTCTGACCTGAGTGAGTCTGGTCTGACCTGAGTGAGTCCGGTCTGACCTGAGTGAGTCCGGTCTGACCTGAGTGAGTCTGGTCTGGTGTGTTTCAGCGGGCGACCGCAGCAGTGTGGGCAGTACGGCGAGTGTGGCGAGCACCCGCAGCGCCGGGAGCGGCCAGAGCACCGAGAGCAACAGCGCCAACAACGGAACCAACGGAACCAACGGAACCAACCAGACCTGTACCCACCACGACAAGGTCAGAGGTCACAGGTCACAGGTTTAGTCCTGGTTTAGTCCTGGTTTAGTTCTGTTTGTTCTTCTGCTGTTTCCTGAGTGTTTTTTTTTTTTTTTTAATACAATCATAAATATTTGTGATACTTTGACTTTCAGATCTGCTCTGACCCTGGTGTTCTGTGTGTGTGTGTGTGTGTGTGTGTGTGTGTCTGTGTGTGTGTCTGTGTGTGTGTGTCTGTGTGTGTGTCTGTGTGTGTGTGTCTGTGTGTGTGTGTGTGTGTGTGTGTGTGTGTGTGTCTGTGTGTGTGTGTGTGTGTGTCTGTGTGTGTGTGTGTGTGTGTGTGTGTGTGTGTGTGTGTGTCTGTGTGTGTGTGTGTGTCTGTGTGTCTGTGCGTGTCTGTGTGTGTGTGTGTGTCTGTGTGTGTGTGTGTGTGTGTGTCTGTGTGTGTGTGTGTGTGTGTGTGTCTGTGTCTGTGTGTCTGTGTGTGTGTGTATTTGTGTGTTTGAAAAATCACAAATCAGTTCCTTGTGTATCGATCGTTTGTCTAAGTCTGAGTTTGTCTTTTCAGGTGGCGCCCTCTGCTGGAGACTTCAAACAGCACGACTCCCCCACAGGTGTGAGACCTCACACTTTAACCCTGATGCCCCGGAGTGTGTGCGTGTGTGTGTGTGTGACCTCACACTTTAACCCTGATGCCCCGGAGTGTGTGCGTGTGTGTGTGTGACCTCACACTTTAACCCTGATGTCCATGTGCACTTTTCTCCTGTTTTTACTGTTCCTCATGACAAACCTGAAGAGTTTCTAGAATCATCCATGCATGTCTGAGTAATCTAGTGATCTCTCCTGGGCCCTCTTCAAACCCTCCTTACCGAGTCTGTACGAGGCTCCGCCCACAAGCCCACGTCCGCCTCGTGCTCCCTCAGTTCTCCGTGTTGATGTGTTGTTTGTGTGTGTGTCCCTGCAGGGGGCGCTCCTCGGCGTCACACGGTCACGGTCCAGTCCAGACCTGATCCGGTCGCTCAACAGTTCGTGAGACCACAGCAGCTCCTGGACGGAAAGGTCAGAGCACAGACACACGTGACCCCTGACACACGTGACCCCAGACACACGTGACCCCAGACGCACGTACAGGAACACACACACACTGAGCTAAACCTGACCCCTGACACATGTGACCCCAGACACACGTGACCCCATACACACGTGACCCCAGACACACATACAGGAACACACACACACACTGAGCTAAACCTGACCCCAGACACACGTGGCCCCTGACACACGTACAGGAACACACACACACTGAGCTAAACCTGACCCCAGATACATTTGACCCCTGACACACGTACAGGAACACACACACACACTGAGCTAAACCTGACCCGTGACACACGTGACCCCTGACACATGTGACACCAGACACACGTATAGGAACACACACACACTGTGCTAAATCTAACCCCTGACACACATGACCCCTGACACACATACAGGAACACACACACACACACTGAGCTAAACCTGACCCCTGACACACGTGACCCCTGACACAT